GGATGAAGCCTACATCTGGTGAGTTTGGTTTTTAGCCAAAAGCAGATCTTGGGCATTGAATCCTAGAGCTGGAGGGAAAGTCTCTAAGGGGCCAGATGATCTCTGCCTCCATAAACCAGGAATCCAAGGTCAGGAGAGGGAAAGCTGGATCATAAGTGTGCCCTGGCTAGAACTGGGAGCCTTTGCGTCCTGTCAGTGTGCCGTGGTAGAGCCAGGGGGCTAGTCACTTCCCCTCCAAACACTCATCCTGTGCAGAAACAGGCCAGTGTGTCCCTGCAAGACAAGCCTCAGAGCACCACCTCCTGCCAGCAGCCTGCTGCCTCCTGGGAGGGATCTGGAACCCTTGACCTAACAGCGTGTGGCCCTGGTCTCTCTGCCGGCACTGGGGCCCCTGTGCAGACCAGCAGTGTGGTCACAGGTCAGCCTCCAGCCAGGGAGCAGTATCCTGCCCCAGTGGTGAGGTTCTTCCTGTTCTCTCCCACCACCTTATCCTGCATGTGACCATTCGCTGCCTTGGCCAAACCTTAGAAAGAGCATTCCAGGAGTTGAGGGAGAGGCTGTGAGGGCACAGAAAATCCCAAGCCATTTCTGGGTGGCTCAGGAATACAATCAGGCTCCCATCAGCCCTGGCTCACCCCTTCCCTGGAAATGCCTAGGGCTTCTTGACCTTTGCCTTTGCTGTGCCATGCCTGCCAATGGGAATATCCTCCTTACGGTTGGAACCTGTGGGAGCTGGGGTCAGCCCACAGGCCCAACTCAAAAGCTCTGACTGCCACAAAGGGTGCCTGGCTTACCGACAGATAGACCTGGCTTGCTTTTTCCCAGTGCCTGGAATTTGTGCGTTGTACCAGGCACTCAGCTTTTCTAGCCCCCCAAGGATATGAGGATACCTCCCTCTATCCCTGTCTTCCAGGCAGTGCACACTTAGACATAATCTCTTTTTTTTTTTTTTTTGAGACGGAGTCTCACTCTGTCACCCAGGCTGGAGTGCAGTGGCCGGATCTCGGCTCACTGCAAGCTCCGCCTCCTGGGTTCACGCCATTCTCCTGCCTCAGCCTCCCGAGTAGCTGGGACTACAGGCGCCCGCCACCTCGCCCGGCTAGTTTTTTGTATTTTTTAGTAGAGACGGGGTTTCACCGGGTTAGCCAGGATGGTCTCAATCTCCTGACCTCATGATCCGCCCGTCTCGGCCTCCCAAAGTGCTGGGATTACAGGCTTGAGCCACCGCGCCCGGCTGACATAATCTCTTAACAATGTCACAGAGAGGGTAATGGTCCCATTTTACAAATAAACTGAGGCTCAGAGATGTCATATCTTGTCAAAAGCTATGGATGACAAAGCTTGGAGATCACTCAAGAACCCCCTTCAACCTCAGCTGCATGTCTCCCAACTAGGGCTGAGTCCCTCCAGGTAGGGCCTGGCCCAGCCTATGGCCAATACCCAGTAAATGCTTGTGAGATGAATTAGTTGGTGGATTAAGCCTGCAGGGGGCCTTATCTCTATGCTAACCTGAGTTTGAAAGGGTTGTTTTTACTTTTTAATTTAGTGGGGAAGGGGCACAGAGATTCCATGCCCTCCCTGGACATACCACCCTCCCTCCAGGAGCCTCCATGCATGTAGCTATCTGGAAGCTCCAAAAGTGGTTTTGTGATTAAGTGAGGTATTGCGCTCTGTTAAGTGCTTTGCTCATGCCTGGTGGTGGTGAACAGTGTCTGTTAGAAGGCAGAGTGGAGAGCCATGTGTCTCCATCAGTGCCCACCCTCTGGGGGCACCTAAAATGACCCTTCGCTTCAGAACCCAAAGCTCCTCTGGCTAAGGTGGGGGCCAATTTGGGTCCCTAGAAACAGCACTGGACACAGTAGCACTGCTTGAGTTCTGTGATCACTATGCCTTGGGATGCAGGGGAGTTACTAGGCATTGGAGGGTTAACTGGGAACTTAACCCTCTCTACAAAAGAGCTTCCATGGGAAAGGGGGGTCACCGGGGAATGCAGGTTGCCCCATTCTAGCTCAACCTACAGTGACCTCTGCTTTACATAATCACAATCCTTACAAACACCCCAAAAGCAAGGTTCCCTTGTTATCCTTAGTACTCAGATCAGAAAACTGAGGTTTGCAGAGGGCCAACCTGTCCTTGGTCACAGGGCTAGAAAGTGAGGGACATGGGATGGAAACCCAGATCCATTAGATCCTGAAGCCAGGATCCTGTTGTTCTCCAGGCTAAGCCACCAATTTAGGACAAATAGAACATGCTGGGAATTGGGGCTTATTGGAGATGATGAAAACAAAGGCCTGAGGTTTAAGTGGCTCTGTTGTAGACAAACATTGAACCCCCTGGAAGCCTGAGGTTTCTTTCAACAGTGTTCAGAGTAATGGGAGAAAAATTAATTCCCAACAAGGCCTCTCCGAGTGCAAAGCAATGGTGAGCAAACCGGGAAATCACCAAAACGCAGCCTGGGTCTCACAGGCTAGTAGCAGGGTCCTGCCACTCCGCCGCAGCTGGTGGTGTGACAGAGCTGGCTCTCCTGACATAGGGATTAGAAGGGATTATGCTGGGCCAGGGCTTACTGTGGCTACCCTGTTTCTGGAGTAAGCACTGCCCCAGCCAGGAGCCCTTTGGCAGTCCCCAGAGAGGCTGGGGTGGGACAGGGTGCTGCTTGCCTGTCCACATGTTCTGCCTGGAACAAAATCCAGGGCCTCTGGGACTTCACCTGACTCTCATCTGTACATGGGGCCCTGGTTCCTTCTGGGGGTACATTGGGCTGAGGGGGAACGTTCATCTCTTGTTTCATCCTTACATTAATCTGTCCATCCACTGCTACCCCCATCCCTTACCATAACCAAACAAAGCAGGTGCAGATGTTTGAATTAACAAGAGCAAAGTCTGATAACAAAAAGCAAATTTTTGGGGGTTTTAAAAGGGAAGACTTGATAAGGAAGGCATGCAAGAACTGGGCTGAGTATGATGTGTGTGTGTTTTGTCCTGGTGGCTAGCTTGGGTTTCAGTCCACCTGGACTTCGGATTGACATTATTTTAACAATGGCCAGGTTGTTAATTAGCCATTTTGAAGTAATTTTTGGAGGTTTGCAGCTGGGTCTCCAGACTTGGTCTGTCTCAAGACTAGCCCCTGAAACTTCTAAGACATCACACAATTAAATAGTAGCATACAGTTAGATAAATGAAAAGGGAGCATATCCGGTGAGAAAGGGGAGGGATGTGGAGTCGATTTTAAGGCTAAGGAGAAAGGCTTTTGAGTTGCCTCAAGGTTACATTTTGAAACCCAAGAGAATGGGGAAAAAAAGGTTTAAAATGCATGAAGTTAAGCTGCGGGCTACATTGCTTCTCTGATATCTGCTACTCAGCTTCCCTGCTCGTTCACTCTGCACCAGCCACCCTGACCTCCTTGCTGTTCCCCTAACACATGAGCCGTGCCTGTAGTCCGCGGCCTCTGCACTGACTGTTCCTCTGCTAGGAGTGTCTTGGCCCCCTGGCTCACTTCATACCTTCAAATGTCATCTTCTCAGTGAGGCTTACATTGGTCAATCCTTTCTCAGAGGCTTCACTCCACCCCCCAATCTCTTGCCAGCAATCCCTAATAGCCCTTGTTACAGCCTGCACTTTTTTCCAAATACTTTCTACCTTTTTTTTTTTTCTTTTTTTTTGAGAGGGAGTCTCACTGTGTCGCCCAGGCTGGAGTGCAGTGGCGCGATCTCGGCTCACTGCAAGCTCTGCCTCCCGGGTTCACTCCATTCTCCTGCCTCAGCCTCCCGAGTAGCTAGGACTACAGGCGCCCGCCACCGCGCCCGGCTAATTTTTTGTAATTTTTTAGTAGAGACGGGGTTTCACCGTGTTAGCCAGGATGGTCTCAATCTCCTGACTTCGTGATCCACCGTCTCGGCCTTCCAAAGTGCTGGGATTACAGGCGTTGAGCAACCGCATCCGGCCCTTTCTACCTTCGTATATACCAGTTACCTGTTGTCTCTTCCCCCACTAGAAGGTAAGCTTCATGAGAACAGAAGTTGTCTTTTTCCTTGCTGTTTCCCTATTTAAGCAATGAATTCAGGAACCTGTGAGTAGGGATCAAGCTCCTCTTTCACACAAAGAAACACCTGGCCTTGGATGGGTGAAGGGCTTTATCGCAGCTGGTGCTGGGTGGAGCCGGAGTGTGAGCAGCGCCCATAGTGCTCCTCGCCTCTTCCACCCACCCAGAATCCTCCCCAGTGACCCAGGACCAGGCGGCTGCGGGGAGGCCGAGAGCCTTCACTAAATGTGACGCATCAGTGACTACAGCCCTGAAATTGAAATTGGAAGCCCAGGCTTGTGTTCACGTCCAGCAAATCCAACAGGTGAAAAATCTAGCTTGTCATCAGCTTATAATAGTCCCATTATCAAAAGCTTAGCCAGGGCTGCTGATTTTGCTTTTAAGTGTTTGAGGCTTTTTTTTTTCTTCCAAATCATTTATTTTTCTCTTATGATATGAGAACAGTAGAAAATATGGATAACTATGCAGTTTATGTAAGCATTCAACAATTGGGAGCGAATTTTCTACAATCCCGAGAGCGGTCACTCCGGGAGCGCATCCGCCCCAAGAAAGGTGGGCAGGCAGCTGCGCGTGCGGGCAAAACCTCAAAGAGGAGCGGCTCGGTGGCTCTTTCTGCCCCTGCTTCCCCTCCTCCTGCTTTACCGAGATCACTACCGGGGGCCCTGGAGACGGCCGTCCCCAGGGCACTCCGGGAGCCGACCGAGTCTCGCGGGGTCGCTCCGCCCGGAGGCTCTCCAGACCCCTGCGCGCGGCAGCCCTGGCCCCAGTCACCCCTGCGCGCAAGCCCGCGAACTCCGAGTGGTCAGGTCCTCCCCACCGAGGTGATTTCGATTCAACGGCGATCGGAGTCCCCGAGAAAGGTGCAGGCGCCTCCCGCCGCCGTGGGGAGCGCACAGCAGAAAGCTTGGGGCGTAAGCAAGAGGGGAAAGGAGGTGGTGTTGAGTGAGAACCAGCCGAGTGTTTTCCAAACATCCATTTAATCTTGGGTTTATCCTATGTATAAAATCTTAACGTGAGGTAGGCTTTCTTATTCCCACTGTGCAGACAGGGAAAATGAGGCTCAGAAGATGCGGTGGTGGTCTGCAAGGTGGAAGAGCTGGGTTCGCAGCCAGGACGGTCTGAGGCTGCGCTCCTTCCCCGGGGGCCGCAGCGGGGCGGCGTCTAGCGCGGCAGAAGCTTGCCGAGGGCCGCGGCAGGCGCGCGCGGGCGCGGGGGCTGGTCGGGCAGCATGGCGGCGCTGTGCTCTGCCCGCAGGGCTAGGCGCGGGCACGCGGCGCGCAGGTGGCGCAGGCCGGCCGCGCTCACGTTGCGGCAGAAGTCCACGTGCAATGTCTGCAGCGCGCGCCCGTCCGCCGCCACGGCCGCCAGCGTGCGGTTGGTGACGCGCGCGCAGTTCTCCAGGCGCAGTGCGCGCAGGCGTGGGCAGCAGCGCAGCAGGCGGGCTAGGCAGTCGTCGGTGACGTGGCCGCAGCCCGACAGCGTGACAGACGCCAGGTTGGGGCACCTGTGAGGAGAGTGCGGTGACCCGGGGCTCACTGGCTTGTTAAAGCCACCCAACCGCCCCGGGGACTGGGTGGACTCATTTACCGAGGAGGACTCGGGCCCTGCGAGGTGAAGACACTTGGCTGCGATGACACGGCAGGGTTCCACGTCGACTTTCTGGCCGACCCATTTTCCCTGTTCTTTCTGCCCCTGCACCCCACCGTACCTTCATTTGCGTGGGTTCTTGGCTCGTAGCCTCGGGAGCCCTAGTGGGAAGCCCTGACCCCGGCCCAGCAGAGTTCTGGGGCGGCTGTGGACAGAGGGAATGCCGGTTCTGGGAGCCACAGCCCTTGTCTCTTTGTTTCACTCTGGATGTGCTGCCTCGCAGGGGAGCGGTGCGTGGCGACTGACTGCTCCAGTCTAGCTTCAAGCCTGAGGCCCCTGAATGTCCCGGCGGGACGTGAGTGGGAAGAGGGATTTGTTTCCTTGGAGGTGGCTTAGTGACAGGCCCATCCCAACCCTCGAGGCGGTGGGGGCACGCGTCAGCATTGAGTCCGGGTTCAGCTTAGTTGACTAGAGCTGTTTCTGCATCCCCTGGGCCACCAGCCTGGAAAAGGGCAGGGATTGGAGGCAGCTAGACGCAGGCCCTGAGCAGGTACAATCAGGGACATCCACCCAGGTGGCTTGCCCAGAAAGCTTGGGGGAACTCTCTGCTGCAGCCTCACCAGCCCCTCCCAACAAAAAAAAGATCTTGAGCCAAGTTAGACTTGGCTTATCGCCGTGTCAGTCACTCAGAGAGCCTTCGTTTGCTCTGCATGGGGGAATAATGGCTACCACTGGGGTTGGGAGGAGCCTGCAACGGGGCCTTCCACAGGCAGTCATAACCCGCTTTCCCTGGAAACAAACGGGACCAGCCTGCTCCCAGTCCAGAAGGACCGACTAATGGGCTGGGGCCTTGGCTCCGCGCAGCCAGAGGGAGCTAGAGTCTGGACTGGGGAAGCGTTTCCCTTTCCCCGTCAGCACCCCCTGCAGCTCCGTGACTGCCCCTGGCTGGGCCAGCTCAGCTCCTTTGTGCCTGGGGTGGGAAGTAAGGCACTAAAATACGCTGGGCGCAGCCAGGTGTCACACCGAGCCCAGGCCTCCTTCAGGTTCATGCGCCTTCGTTAGTCACCCCGTCAACCTCTGCACCCCTAGTTTTGTAAGTGGAGAAACTGGCCCAGGGAGCTCAAGGGACTGGCCGGTGACTGACTTGCTGTCAAACCCAGGACAGATGTCTGAACCTTGCTGAGCGCCACTTTCTCATTTGTCAAGTGGGAGGAATTGTTACCTTCAAGGTGGTTATAAGGATTAGCTGTTTAAGCCTCAAAGGTGTTGGGTGATCTTTTCCTCTAAGAATCTTGGAATAATTCTGATACAGGGAAAAAACAAAGAGCGGACTGTCTCCCCGCCCAGCCATCCTCAGCCGTTCCTCCCGACCTGAGCCGAGCGCCAGAAGAACCAGATTCGGTAGACGTTCTTCCGTACCTACTGTGTGCCAGGTGCCACTGTGTCATTCTCTTATCGGATAAGAAAAATTTAGCACATTTTACAGAAGGAGAAATGAGGTTGCAAGAGTTTAAATATTTGAGCTGGGATCACATGGTTGGACGAACTGGGTAACCCAGCAGAGCCCTGACAGCAAAGCCTTTTGCTTTTTATGTGACAGCAGGGCCCCTTGCTTGATCAGTACAGTGGCCTGGGAGGTCCACTTCACACCTGCAGGTTTGGAGCATTAAGCTCGGTTCTCCTACAGTAAGAATGGGACAATTTCAGGACATGTTCTGCCATTCGCACCCTGCTCCGCCGCCGCCCCGCCGCCCCGCCCCTCGCCATATCACTCTCTAGTCTGATTCTTGGGCCTTGTTAAGCCCATGAAAATGGCCTTGTCCAGTCAGGGCCCAGCCCCAAGTCCATCTTCTGTTTTCTCCCAGCTCAAAAGAAAGGTGGGGTCACGACGCTGTTTCCTTCCACTCCTGTAGTGCTGCCAGCAAATAGCAACTATGAACTTGGGTGGCAGTAAACTGGCTGAGCCTAGTTTTCCATGAGCAGCAGGCCCAGTTTGCTAAGTGATCAAGGGGGTGTTATTCCTCAAAGGCAGCACAGGACTGGCAGAGGCTCAGTGAGAGGCTGGTTGAGTAGCTCCGTGTTCTTGCCTGGGTCACTATACCCATGAGGCTGGGGCCGTGGGGGGAGCCTGGCTTAGTGGTTCAGCGTCTATGTCTGTGTCTGGGGTGGGGTTAGCAGATGAACACAAGATGTACTTGGGATGTACTTATACTAAAATATTATTCACTGTTTATCTGAAATTCCTATTTAACTGGGCAGCCTATATATTTGCTAAAACCTGGCAACCCTAGACTGGGCAAATCACACCACCTCGGGGAGCATCAGTTTGCTAATTTGAGAAATTAGGCTAAGTCACCCTCCTTAGGAGTACTGTGTAACTCAGTAATTCATCTACTCGTGGAGTCTGGTTTGGCTTAGCTGACCCCAGCACCCTGGCTCCCCCACCTCTCCCCTCCGCATCGTTTCCCAGGTCTCGGGGGCTGCTTGCTAGGCCTAAGGGAGGGGTGAGCTGATTGCTGCATCTGGAAGCCTTTTCCCAGAGCCTGACCTTGAAAATCCAGGCCCAGCTGGACCCACCCAGCACTTAATGACTAGCAGTATGGAGGCCCCACTTCTTGGTGTTTGCATGAAGCAGCTCCAGGACCTGTAAGGCTAAGAGGAGGATTAGCAATTGTTTCCCTCTTGATTTTATCATCTCCTGGGGACCATGCTTTGGGCGGGTCTGGATGTCCGCCTTGGGCCTGCCTAGTCTGAGGCACCCCAAAGGTGGAGCCATCTTGGTCTCGTAATTTGCTCTTCCCTGCCCCCCAAGAGGGAAGCCAGAGCTAGCGGGGCCAGCACTGCTCAGGAGGCAAGGTGGCCTACCTGTCGCACACCTGGAGGAGGAAATCATTGACCAGGCTCTCGTGCCGGCTGCAGATGCTTCTCTGGAAGGCACTCTTGAGCCAGTCCTCGATGCTGCACACCTGCACGCGGCTGGAGTGCCAACAGATGGAGAGGCTGCGGAGGGCCGGGCCCAGGAGGAAGTTGTCCTTCTGGAGTTCAGTGAGGGAACGGAAGTGCAGCAGGGACCACAGTGCGGGGTCCTCAAACACGTCGTGGAGCTGGGAGCAGGTCCTGGCGAGGCTCTTCCTGCTGTCCTTGTCTAGGAAGGAGAAGAGGTGCAGCAGGCACTCCCGGTTGAGCTGGGTTATGTGCATGGTGAGCAGTGGCCACATGTGAGTGCAGCTGCAGCCAGGGGACGGGCTGACCTGCCTGCTCTCCTCCTCCCCGGCTTTGGGCCGGTGGACATATATGGTTGAGGAATGGTGTTTATTTTTGGCTAACAACTGGTGCTGCAGCTCTGCGGAGGGGTGAGGGAAGAAAAGCCAGGACCCAGACATACGTGCGGCAGTCTGTGGTTCGGCTTCTGTTCAGAGGGATTGGAGGTCCTGGCAGAAAAGGAGCCTATTGAAGTTACTTTCCTTAAAAGGGATTTTTTTTTCCCTTTAGCTGACAATGGTGTTTAGCGGCAAGCACTTTTGGCTTTTCCCAAGGCATTTTCATTGGCGGTGGCAGTGGCGGTGGCCCGGCCAGCTCCGTCTGGCTTTGCAGTCTCTACTCACGGGGAAGGAGTCTAACTGTAAATGTTAACTGTGTTGATTTTCTAGTACATCAGTGTGGAATCTTTTGCTCCACCCTGACTAGGAAGAAACCTGTGTGTGAAGAGCTAAGGGTGACAGCTGTGAGTTGTGAGCAGAGTACATGGCTGCTGCCTCATTCCTGTGGTTTTGTGCCATACAGTAATTGTCTCCAGGCGAGGCTGGTTGGCCTTCAAGTCCTGCTGCCTGCCACTAGGCAGGGGGATTTTCCCGGCCTCCCCAACAGCTAGATTTTTACCCTGAGTTGTTTCATAAAAGATTTTACTGAAGTAGCTTCTTTCCAAAGTTGTGTGTCTGTGTTTTATTGGTGTTTTGTGGTTGATTGTGTAGTTTTGGTCAAGCAGTACTGAGTGTGTGTTTTAAATTTAAATTTACTTGGCTTTACATTTTCTCACTGGTAAGGCCTTCTACTATGTGTGTATAACCTGTATTTCCCAAAATGTCAGGATGGATGAGGTAGCTCTTAATGTGAAACTGCTTGAAACAGTTTTAGTATTTTAGTCCATCTTTGCCTTTAAGTTGACCACACACCATCCGCTCTGAGTGCCCTCTGTTCCCTCTTGGAGAGGCCAGTGGGGCCACCCCTGCGCTCTCTGACTCAACTCTAGGCCAGGTTGCCTGGAGGTACTGTCCTTCCTGGGTACCCGAGGCCTCACGATATGGCAGACCCGTTTCCTCATGCTGCTCCACTCCCAAACCCAGGACCCAAACTTAACTCCCTTCTTTGAATCCCAGGCGTTTTTTGGTTTGCTTGGGGGATGCTGATATGGTGCAGCTGTACAGGCCATGTTCTGCCTAGGCAATAGTGAGAAGAGAACGGTTTTTCCTCTGCCAGCCCAGGGACTACCACCTCAGTGGTTACTTTTGCTTGTTCTCCCATTTGGAACAAGAGGGAATGGGAATCCTTTTGTTTTCCCATAGACACAAATGAAGCAGCCTATGCTGAACACCCACTTCTGGAACTAAGGTTTGGTCAGGGCTGGTGCAGCTTTGCCTTTAAAGGCAGAAGGCAGTCAAGCAAAGAAGAAAGTAGCCATTGTCAGTGGCTTTCCTGAGAAGCCAGCCTCAGCTGGTGCCCCTGTGCCTGCATTACTCCACCGTGCCAAGATGAAGTGCAGCGGGGAGCGGGGGTTCTCTTAAAAACAAACCAAGGAACAGTCAAAAGGAAGCATTTCCCAAGGAAGGTGAGCCAGCTACTGCTGCTATTTCAAGCTCATCGATGTGGTTCTCAATCACAGCTGACACCCTAGTTTAGGCTCTGTCTAGGTGTACTTCTCCACTTAAAATGGATGCTGCAGTGCCACAGGTGGTGTTATTAGAAAGCTGCATTATCTTCACTTTCCCTCCCCAATCCTCCGCAAACCAATGCTTTTCAGAGGGTTGGCCCTTAGGAATAGGTGGTTCTTTCAACTTCTTGCAAGGCCAGAGCAGTACTTGTGCCTTCCACTGAGTAAGAGCCACTGCTTCAGCGTGGCTTCCACGTTGCACTACTGCAGCCCTGCTGGAATGGCCAAAGATTGGCAGGGAGCACATTTAGAGCCTCGCCTCTCTGCTGCCGCTCCAGGTAGGCTGCAGGAAGCATCCTGGACTACCAGGGCCGGGGGGAACACGCTCCTGCATGCTGCAGAGGGTCTGAGGCACAGCCAGAGGAGGTGACGAAGCTCTGCCCCTTTGGCCTTGTCCAGAGCTAGGCGGTTTGGCAGCAGGGACAGCAGCCACGCAGCCTCTGACCAGCACAGCTGCCAAAAGAGAATGTGCCCCATGGAATAAGGATGCATAACAGTTTGAACTGCAGGGACCTGTGTCTTCAATTTTAGAAGACTGACAAGAACAGGCAAAGGACGAATGTCAAAACAGGGTTCCGTCTGCAAGAGGCGTGGGGGCAGAGAGGTAGTCTACAGGAACTTAACTGTAAGCAGGATGCTTATTTAACAGTTATTTGCCTGTTTTACCTTAAAAGATGACCAATATCCTTTGCTCAGAACCCCAAAACTCATGCCTCAGGGTACAGTCTAGCTCTAAAGGGGGGGGAAGGGGCCTCATTTTTGTAAGATCAGTAGTCACAAGAGGCTGAGGTGATTTCACTGAGCAAGGGTGAGTGGGACCTCAGGCACCTGACTGCAGGCACTAATCTCCCGGCCATCACTTTGCCCGTACAGGTCACTTCATCCTGTTCCAGGTACAGCAGCTCCAAATCGTGGGGATTCTGTAAGATCTTCCTACCTGTTGACTGAGGAGGCCCACAAGTTGAGTAAGTACATCATCATTTATGTGGCTCCACTGAAAAAAGGTGTTCAGAAATAAGTCAAAAGGAAAGAGAACAGACTTTTAATGATACTTTTTAAAACAGTTCAGGTTGGTGAAGCAGAAAAGGGATGTGATTACAATTTAAATGAATCAGTCACTTGCACAATTAATCTTCTTGGCATCATACACACTGGGTTTTAATGGAAAATGATGACATCACAGCATGACCAACGCTCATGGAAGGCAGTCTAGAGTCCATCACGCTCACACCTGAGGGGGAAGGCATTGCACCCACTGACGAGACGCAGAGACCTTGGACTACAGACGACAGCACATGCCCACTTTTTCCTCGCCTGCCTATGGCTACTCCTAGTCACCTGGGCCCCAGGCCTTGGCTGCAGGAACGGACTTTTTCCATGGGCTTTTCCAGGGCCCAAGTGAAGAGGCCACTTCAGCAACAGAGGGTACAGGAGAGAGTTCAGGGGCTGGTGGAGATTAAAGTGGGAGAAGTGTATCTAAATAGACTTATGTACACTAAACCAATGAAGGAGAGGTTTGGCTTTAAGAAATAAATATGTCCCCAACCCCAGAAACCAAGCTGCTGAGTAGGTTCCACAGGTGAGATACACATTTAACACTCACTCTGGGCCAGTATACTTGACTGGTTTAATTCTAGCATATTTGTCATCACTATACACTGAGTAGAATACAGTGGATAAGCAAAGGTTTCTCCACCATGGAGAGAGATTTGTGTTGCCACAAACTGTTTCTATCACCCACCTGTGTGGGAGGACTTCTGAGAAAGTTTTCTTGTTCCAAGGAGCCATGTGACTCAGTGCGAGGCCCTGCCTCAGCAGAAGCTCTGAGCGAGAAGCCACATATATTGCTGGAGACAACATGGCACACGGGAAAAGCCCTGAAGAGCACAAAAGATCAGCTTTCAAAATAGGTGTGGTAAGGCTACACAGTTAAAAATTAAAATACAATAGGCACATTTACATCACTGGTGTTCAAGTGCACAATTCAAATGGATCCAATCACTTTTCTAAAGAATCTTCATACCATTCAAACGCTTCTGTTCAAGTAAAACCAACCAATAAAAACAAATTCAGAGAGAAGACGTGTTCATCTCTTAAGCCAACAGCATCACCTGTCTGAAGACCACTCTGCCCGACAAAGTAGTCCAATGTTGCTAAAGTTCCATTTGGTATAAAAATACAGCTTTTTTTCACCATCAACTCTGCCCAGGCCCTTACTGTTCAACAGCTGCCCATTCAGAGACTGAAGATGGAAGGATCAATGCTAGAGGTTTCAGCTGTCTACCTTCTAAGCAAAAGAGCCCGGATTCATAGGAGATACTTCGCACGATCACAGGAGACACTCACATTTTAGGTTCAATTAGATGTGGTGTTAATGTGTGATACATCAGATCAGGTTGGAGCTGTCATTTTTGTAGATCAGAACTCGTCAAATAGCAGAGTTTCATACAGTTTAACCTAATGTAATTTAGCACTGTAAATTAACTTAAGCACACATTTCCCTATTATCTTTTAGGACTCCAAGTTGTAAGACCTAAACATGATGGCAAAGCTTTATTCTTTGGAGTGAAAATTTAGAGCAGCACTGTCCTACGCTGTCTGCGGGTGCTGAGCACTTGAAATGTGGCTAGTGTGACTGAAGGCACTGAGTTTCTAATTTCAATTTCAATCACATGTGGCTAGGGGCCATTGTACTGGATGATATAAGTTTACACATAATTGCAATTTGCTCCTTGTCATCTTAAAGCGTTTAGCAGATGTGTTCTGGGAAGATGTGGGATTTATCCAGTTAATATTAAAATGGAAATGAAGCTACATCTGATCCCACAACTTCAGATACCCAACCTGAGGGAAAGCCATCAGACTGTTCTTACATTCATAAACTTAAAAATAAAAAATGATCAAGATGTTTTTAATAGAACAGGCTGGGTGTGGTGGCTCATGCCTGTAATCCCAGCACCTTGGGAAGCCAAGGCGGGTGGATCACTTGAGCCCAGGAGTGCAAGACCAGCCTGGGCAACATGGTGAAACCCCATCTCCAGTAAAAATATTAAAAATTAGCTGGGTGTGGTGGTGCCAGCTACTTCGAGGCTAAAGTGGGAGGATAGCTTGAGCCTGGGAGGTTGAGGCTACAGTGAGCTGTGATCATGCCACTGCGCTCCAACCTGAGGGACAGGGTAAGACTCCATCTAAAAAAAGAAAAAAAAATGTCTGAAAGTTTTATTGGCTTAATACAAGATACATTTTGTTCCTTGTGGAGAATTGGTAGGCTACATCTACCAACGCCCCCACAACCAAAAAAAAAAAAAAGTCAAAGGACTGTCTTAGAACACTTGTAGAAACTACAACTGCTTTCTTTAATTGGAATTCTGTTTCCAAATTTGAATTTAAGTTAAATCTATTTTTTAAAAACAAAACTGGCTGGGTGTGGTGTGGTGAGGTGGGCAGATCACCTGAGGTCAGGAGTTCAAGACCATCCTAGCCAACGTGGTAAACCCCTGTCTTTACTAAAAATCCAAAAAAAAAAAAAAAAATAGCCAGGTGTAGTGGTGGGCACCTGTAATCCCAGCTACTCAGGAGGCTGAGGGTGCAGTGAGCTGAGATCATGCCACTGCACTCTAGCCTGGGCAACAGAGCGAGATTCTTGTCTCCAAAAAAACCCCCAAAAAACAAAATGAAAACTCTCCTTACTCAAAATGAGAATACTTTCAACTCCTCCTCTCAGGATAGGCCAGTGAGAGGTGTTAAAACCCAGAGCAGCAGAGATTCTAAATGTCCTCCGGTGGAAGCACACCCCCAGTGATAAACTGAAGTGCAGGTGATAAGCCAAGTAAATCCCAGAGGCTCACACCTCAGACTCAGGTGCCAAACACAAGCAGTAAGTCTAAAATGGACATGCCGTGACTTCCAGTGCTACAACTAAGGGGGAATGAGAGACTGATTCAAAAAGGAGGCAGACGCCATGGCTTTACCTCACTGTAACACCTATACCATGTCAGTGAGTCACAACATTTTTTTAAACATTACATGTATTTGGTCTTTACTCCCATCTTACCTCCCCGCAAACAAGTACGCCCCAAAACCAAAAAACCAACAAAGACAGTAATTCTTGTATTTGCAGGACAAGTACAACTGAACCAACAAATTTATTTAGTTAGTGCTGATAAACAGCAGCCTTGAGAGACAAGCAGTAATTACCTGGTCTACTTAATGATGCCCTTTGTTATCTTTTACAGGCAAAAAGAATGATTACTCAGCAGTCACTGTGAAATTTTGTGGGCCACAAGTTGTGTGCACACATGATCCTTGATTTAGAGACAACCTGATCTCCATTACAGCTGTGAAAAGACAGCAGGCAGTTGTGTCACTCTTCACAATAAGGAACATATCTTGCTTTCAGCATGTGAGAGGAACAAAAGCATTGATGTAAATGTGCCTCATAGTGAGAACTGAAAACATTAACATAAAATAAAAAAGTCAAATAAGACTAAGTTCTTAAAACTACATATAAAAATTGAATTATTACAACTAAAGCAGCAAATCAAAATGTCTGCTGAGGTTTTCTGGTAGAACAACAACAAAATTAGTTGGTGCCCATGTTCAGTAACTCACTACCATTGACAAAACTAAACCCAAAATAGGAAATTGAAAAGTGCATAATGAAATTAAATCTTGGATCAAGTATTTGTGGAAAACTGGAAATGTTTCTCTGGTATGGTTGATGAATGATGATTTGGAGGAGGTATTAAAGTTTATCTGATCCAGCTTTGGCCTGGCGTTCCACGTAGAAAAGGATGTAGGCCTTTGCCTTCACCACAGTCTCCTCGTCAGTCAGTGTTACAGTACTGTCATTGAAGTGGAACCAGCGGCCTTCGTGAGTTGCGTATGCTGTGTAATGTCCAGAACCAACCCTGTAAAGGCAAAAGACCAAAGGAAAAAAAGACCTCAGAAATCACAAAAAGACCTGTAAACTACATAATGTTAGATTTAAATTTTAGTAAGAATACATCCTAGACTTTTGATTTAAGATGCTTACTAAACTCATGTTTTTACCTTCCTCCAAACTGACCAGAAATCGAGGGTTTGCTACAATGCAAAGCAGATGGCCCTGGACTAATGGAGAAAATACAGAGGAGGAACTCTCAACCTAACGAGCACAGGTCAAGGCCTATGGAAACATGGAAAACTACGTACCAGGTTTTCTCATCAGAATCTTAGGAAAAAACTAAGCTTAACAAAGAAGGGCACCCTTCTCTGACACCGTGGTCATTGGGGCTCTCCCGGATCAGCATGACCCACCCACTCACACACGGAACCTTAGAGTCAGCCCTCCAAGAAAGACAGAAGGCCTGCAGGTAGAACAGACCTTCGTAACTGCCAGCAAAACCCTATTTAAACAATAAAGATCCATCTCATCATTTACTATGATTCAGAATAAACCACCAAAACCAAATTTTAAAAATATTTAAGCCTTTTGCATGCCTACAAAATCAAATTTTTGAGAGGAAAGAAATACCAGGAAGAACAAGTAAAGCGATCAACCCTGAGGAATTGAATGCAGAAAACCTAGGGGAACTTTAAATTTTTTAATTAGTGCTAATAGTTTCAAAAAGATAGTGCAATCATAAAACAAGAATAGGCTGTTATGAAAAAGTTGTCAGAAAAATGTGATTGATGTAATATAAATATTTCATGGAGGAGCTAATCTTTTATTTGGATACAGATGAAACCCAAATTGGTGATTTGGAAAAGTAGGCCATGGCAGTCCTTAGAAACAGAGACAGAAATCATTAAAGAATATTTAAGACATGTGGAAGAGAGATCCAGGAAATTCACTATGCATATAATAGGAAGGTACAGAGAACAAAGAATGGGTTCAGACCTACAGTATAAACATTTTCATGAGCTGAAGGCACCAAACTAAAAGTGTCCCTACCAACTGCCAAGCAGGAATACATTTGATGATGTTTAAGTCCAAAGATAGAGGATCCTACATACTTCCAAAGGGAAAAAAGCCATGCGCCTATAAAGTAGTGAGAATCAGACTTGTCCTTCATAACACTATGTGAGTGTAGATGTTACTTTATTGATCTCACAGCTGTGCGGGAAAAGGATTTTCAACATGGATAGTCGTTTGCACACATATAGTAGTCTTAAGTTTGAAGGTAGAATAGCAACTCTCAGACCAAAAACCAGGTTAGACCCCTAATACAAACTTTTAGGGAAAAAAAATAGTGTTATTTAATAAGACTTAAAATGAATCTTTACAGTAGATGACATGGAGTAAGTTATTCCAAATAATTTCCCCTCTTGCCCCATTTAAATTTCAATTGGTAAAGAAATAAGCAACTTTGGAGTCTGTGGACAAATAGACTGGGTTCTAAATACTGGGTTCAAATGAACCATTCTCCATTTCACTTTTATTTACCTTCCCTTAAGGCTTCACAACATCATCTCAAGAGTACTCTTCTACAGCAAAACTGAAGGAAATTTCACCTACTTTATCTGAATCCATTTTTTAGGGAGAAATATCAAGAGTGGTACAAAACTGCAGGTCATTAGGCTGGCCACCAGGTATTCCCACCCACCAGAAGCTAGCTGTTGTACTCACCCGGAACCATGGTGCACCACCACAGCGGCGAGGTCATACAGGCAGCTCTCCGGGCCACTGTTCTCAGGCTACAGAACAAGGAAGAAGGAGCAGTGGTCAATGACATCAGTATGTCAATGACCTCTAACCTCTCCGTGTGATGACAATCTTACTGAAGAGCCATTTTTTCACCATGCTAAAAAGGTAACCACCTTACCTCTAGTAAGTAGCATTTCATGTCTAGGCCTCTCAATGGAAATTCTACATATGTATCAACTTTATTTCTTAAATATGCTGTCCAGTGAAATCTTTTCAAATGTAAGCATAGCACCTGGAGGACAGAGATGAGGTCAAAGATTGTGAACACCTAAGTTACTTTTCAAAGTTTGATACTACTATCAGTTCAGTAAATAACATTTTAGCTGCCCTCTCAATCATTCTTCCATGCATACCTTATGCATTCATTCTGTAAAGGGTTTAGCTTTTACTGAAAATCCTAGAGACATACAGAACAGTTCACATAGTGTAAAGTTATAGACATAGTCTTAGCAGTCAAGCATTTTTCCCTTGAAATTGCTTCGTAACTCAAAATTCAACACTCACCTTGGGTAGTTTTTGAATCCAAAACTTTTTTGTGGACTTTTGTTTCTTTTTGCATTTATGGCACATATATAACTCTGTCTCATCAAGTTCTTCTAAGTCAGTAAAACTGCGAAGACAATCTAAACAAATTGATTTTGGCAGCATTAAAACAAGATACCTTTTATAGAGCCAATGTACTGTAGAAAAAAGACTGAACTTTGAAGCTGAATGACGCAGGTTTAAAATCTCAGCTTTATTAGCTATACGACCTTAGAAAAGTTAACCTTTCTCAGTTGCAAACTGGAGACAAAAAATAATACCTACTTTGAAGAACTATTGTAAGGGAGACAAATAACATGTGTAAAGCACCTGGCATCATGCCTGACATCTGGTGATCAATTGTGTTGGTTTTACTATTAATGAAAATTCATCTGGATAATTCTGATAAAATGGTTTCCTGATGAATTTAAAGTTTCAATTGTGGTTTTCTGTCAATATGTTACATGATAGAGGACAAAGCTCCAAGCTCATAAAAAAAAAAAAAAGTCAAATTTAGATCATTTAAAAATCAACATAGATCACAGAAGGCTATGCTATCAACATTCTCTGTCCAGACTCTGTACTCTCAGTTCCTAGATAAATCACAGCTACATTTTTTTTTCGTTTAAAGATGTAATTGTGTAACCTGGGGTTTAGTAAACTACAGCCCTAAAACATCCAGCCAGCCACCTGGTTTTGTAAATAAAGTTTCACTGGAACACAGCCATGCCCATTTGTTTACATTACTGTCTGGCTGCTTTTACACTACACCAAACTGAGTCACTGGGGCAGAGATCTTATGTGGTGCAAAGCCTAAAACACAGCAAGTCCTCACTTCATGTCATGACAGGTTCTTGAAAAATGTGACTGTGAAGCAATTTTTTTCTCATCAATGTTATAACTAAACGTTAAAGGAAACTGTTACTGGAGGAGCTGCTGTATGTCATTTTGCTTTAAACTTGCAGTTTCCAAGAAATTACTGATGACATTAAATGAAGACTTACTGTATTTACTCTCTGGCCCCTTTGCCAATTCCTGATGCAATCAGATATTCATAAATCTATATAAAACGCACGTTATTCTGTAGAAAAATATGAATGCCTATGGACCCCACACTTGGATTTTCTCGAGTACTCAAGGAGCCAGGGTCTCTGTGCATGGCCTCTCCTAGAGTTGTGCAGTGGGCAACCTGTGCGGCCATGTGCTTCTTACCAAAAATAATTCCCCTTCCTCTGCCCAGAAGTAGCCATTATCCTGACTTTTATGTTAATCATTTGTCTTTACAGAGCATGTATGTATCTTTAATGTATTAGTTTACAGTTGGGTAGCAAGCAGAAACCTAGCTGTGTACAGAAAAGCACTCTTGTCTCTGTACTCAAGTTTCCAAGCCATAGTCAGCCTTTGTGTCTGTGACAGTAGCAGACGGCGCCCTTTCAGGGAAAGTTAGTGGAGGCAAGGTGTGGCAGAGGACTAGACAAAAGTCTTGAATATGCCTTTGTTGCCTGATCCCAGTACCTAGAAGGCACATCCTACGCCTGCCTCCCTACAACTCAATTCTCACTTCTTTCTTTGAACCTTTCTCGACCTCCAGTGGACAGTTACCATTCTTTCCTCAATTTTCCACAAATACTAGAATTGCCAACCTGCTCAACCTGCTATTTTATGTCAAGGATGGTTCCTGGGAAATGATATATTATATTTTGACATTACATTTCCTGAAGAAAGTCTCAGACTCTACACTCAAACTTGCAAATAGAGTGATGTTGTTCTCAGGAGCCTCCCAAGTCCCACATCTCTGGCTACAAAGAGCACTAACTACACAGCAGACTGGCTGGCTGGCACTGATAATCCCTTCAGACTGATCACTATGGTGCTTGTGAGCTCTGCAGGTGAAGTCATAGATGCTTTCATCAGCAAGTATTTGTTACATCATGTAAAAAGCTATGGCCTTGGTGGGGACAGGGCGGGTCATAGGGAGAATAAGAAACGAGGAAAGGAAACAGGATTTTCCACATTTAAAATCATCATTTGAACACTCAAACTAGAAAAAGGAGAACTTCAACATGACAAAGGCCATATATGAAAACCCACAGTGAACATCACACTCAATGGTGAAAGACTGAAAACTTTTCCTCTAAGATCAGGAAAACAAGGATGCTTACTTTTGCCACTTCTGTTCAACGTAATATTGGAAGTTTTAGCTAAAGCAACTAGGTAAGAAAAAAAACATCCAAAATGAAAAGGAAAAAGTATAATTATCTCTGTTGACAGATCACATGATCTCATGTAAAAAACCCTACAGTTACAAAAAAATTAACTGTGCCTGAAAGCTATGAAATGTTGCTAAAAGAAATTTTAAAAGACATAAAGACATCCTGTGTTCATGGATAGGAAGACTCACTATTGATGTCAGTTCTTCCCAACTTCATCTATAGATTCAGTGCAATCTCAAACCAGCAAATTATTTTGTGGATGGTGACAAAATTAAAGTTTATTATGGAAAGGCAAAAGACCAAGAATAGCAAATACAACATTGAAGAAGAACAAAATTGAAAGACTGATATTACCCAACTTAACTTATTACAAAGCTATAGTACCAAGACAATGTGCTGGCGAAAGAAAGAAAACAGATCAGTGGAAGAGAATAGAGCACCCAGAAATAGACTCATACAAATATAGTCAACTGCCTTTGACAAAGGAGCAGAGACAATACAATGGAGAATGGATAGTATTTTCAACAAATGGTACTAGAACTGGACATTCACAGGCCAAAAAAAAAAAAAAAAAAAAAAATCTAGACACAGACCTTTTATTCCCTCCACAAAAACTATTAAAATAGATCAAAGGTATAAAACTTTCAGAACATAGGAAAAAATCCAGATGACCTTGGGTTTGGCAATGGCTTTTTAGATGCAACACCAAAGGCATAATCCATGAAAGAAGGATTTATAAGTTAGACTTCATTACAATTAAAAATTTTTGCTCTGTAAAAGATACTCTCAAGAGAATGAAAAGACAGGATACAAAATCAACATACAAAAGTTAGTTGCATTGCTACACACTGACAATGTATTCATTGTTAGGTATTTCCAAAAAGGAAATTAAGATAATTTCATTTATAGTAGCATCAAAAAGAATAAAATACTTAGGAATACATTTAAGGAGACAAAAGACTTATACCTGAAAACTACAAAACATTGCTGAAATAAAATTTTAAAGACATCCTGCATTCATAGATTGGAAGACTTGATGTTGTTAACATGATTATTACTACCCAAAGCAATCCACAGATTCAGTGCAATTCTTATCAAAATCCCAATAGAAATTTTTGCAGAAATAGAAAACCCATCCTAAAACTCACATGGACTCTTAAGGAATCCTGAATAGCCAAAACAATTTTGAAAAAGAACAAAAAAGTTATAGGACTCACACTTTTGATTTTAAAACTTACTACAAAGGTACAGTAATCAAACAGTATGGCACTGACATAAGAACAGACATACAGACCAATGAAATAAACTCTTACATATACAGTCAACTGATTTTTGACAAGAATGACAAGACTACTCAATGGGGAAAGGACCATCTTTTCAACAAATGGTGCTGGGGAAACTGGATATCAACATGCAAAAGAATTAAGTTGGACAGTTACACCATATACAAAAATTGAAATAGATCAAAGGTCTGAAACGTAAGTCTTAAAACTATAAAACTCTTAGAAGAAAACATAGGGAAAAAGCTCCATGACATTAGATTTGGCAATGATTTTGATATGACACCCAAAGCACAGGCAACAAAAGAAAAAATAGATAAGCTGAACTTTATCAAAATTAAAAAATTGTGTATTAAGGGACACTATAAAGAGAAACCACAGAATGGGAGAAAAATATTTGCAAATCATGTATCTGGATAAGGGATTAATGGCCACAATATATGAAGAACTCCTAAAACTCAACAACAAACTGATTCAAAAATGGGCAAAGGACATTAATAGACATATCTCCAAAGAAGCACAAATGACCAATAAACACATAAAAAGATGCTCAACATCACTAATTACTAAACTCAACGACAACAACAAACTGATTCAAAAATGGGGAAAGGACTTTAATAGACTTTTCTACAAAGAGGCACAAATGACCAACAGACACATAAAAATGTTCGACATCACTAATTACTAGGGAAATGCAAATCAAAACCATAGTGACATACTACTTCACAGTTACTAGGATGGCTGTTATTTAAAAGACAAAAACAAAAGCAGAAAATAATGTGTTAGCTAGAAAGTGGAGAAATTAAAACCATTGTACCAGCCAGGTACGGTGGCTCATGCCTGTAGTCCCAGCACTTTGGGAGGCTGAGGCGGGTAGATCACGAGGTCAGGAGATCGAGACCATCCTCGCTAACATGGTGAAACTCCGTCTCTACTAAAAATACAAAAAATTAGCTGGGCGTGGTGGCAGGTGCCTGTAGTCCCAGCTACTTGGGAGGCTGAGGCAGGAGAATGGCATGATGAACCTGGGAGGTGGTGGTTGCAGTGAGCCGAGATCACACAACTGCACTCCAGCCTGGGCAACAGAGCAAGACTTCATCTCGAAAAAACAAACAAACAAAAAAACCGTTGTACCTTGCTGGTGGGAATGTAAAATGGTATAGCCACTGTAGAAAAATTTGGCAGTAACTCAACAAGTTAAACAGAATTATGATCCAGCAATTCCACTCTTAGGTATATACCCAAAAGAACTGGAAGCAGGAACTTAGATACATGTACACCAGTGTTCATAGCAGCATTATTTGTAATAGCCAAAAGGTGGGAACAACCCAAGTGTCAACAGATGAATGGATGAACAGAATGCAGTCTATACATACAGGAGAATATTAAGCCTCAAAAAGGAAGTAAATTCTGAGATATGCTACAACATGGATGAACCCTGAAAATATGCTAAGTCAATCACAAAGGGATAAATACAGTATGATTCCACTTAATATGAGGTGCCTAGAATAGACAAAATTCAGAGTGTAGAATATGAGTTACTGAGAATAAGAGAGGAAAAATAATGAGTTACTGTTTAATGGGTACAGAGTTTCTGTTTAGGATGAC